AAAATTTTAAAACTGACTACAATTTCAAAGTCAACGTTTTTTGTTCATTTTATGAATGACTTCTTCCACACAGAAAGTTTGAAGGAAATCTGTAATCTTAAGAAATTCGAGTGGTCGGTTTTTACACGGACTGCCTCTTAAGCAGCGAACCCTAGAGAAAATCCAATTCCTAAAAGACAACGGACACAATGTCGTAGAGGTTTGGACGTGTGATATTGAGCGTCAACTTGCCACCGAACCCGAGATGAAAGATTTCTTCGACAATTTTGAGATCTCTGAACCTCTGGAACCTCGTCATGCATTCTTTGGTGGAAGGACTAACGCAACATGCCTATACTACGACGTCCAGCCAGAAGAGAAGATCCGCTATGTGGATTTCTGCAGCCTCTACCCATGGTATGTATCTTGTTTAAGTCTTTTAACTCAAACGTGCTTGTCGTTAACCTTCTTAAGCAATTTTTAGGTGTAACAAATACGGCAAGTATCCGATTGGCCATCCCGAGATTATTACTGAAAACTTTTAACCTATCAGTGACTACTTTGGTTTGGTGAAATGTTCTGTGCTTCCTCCTCGTGCCCTATACCACCCCGTTCTCCATTACCGTACTCAGGATAAATTTATGTTCCCGTCGTGTCGTACCTGTGCCGACAACCTTCAACAAGAGCTCTGCTATCACAGCGATGCCGAGCGAACACTTCTTGGGACATGGGTGACTTTGGAGCTCGAGAAAGCATTAGAGAAAGGCTACGAACTGATGAAAGTTGACAAAGTTTGGCACTTCCCCGAGCACACGCATGGACTGTTTAAGGACTATATTGATACATTCCTCAAAATCAAACAAGAGGTAGAGTTTCATCACATGTGTGATATTGTCACATCATTAGTTTCTTATTATTCCTTTCCCCCCTACAGGCGAGTGGCTTTCCTCCGGAATGTGACACCGACGAGAAGAAGGGGCAGTACATCGCTGACTACGCCGCAAAAGAAGGTATTCAGCTGGATCCAAGACAAATTGTGAAGAATCCTGGTCTGAGGGCGTTGGCGAAGCTCATGTTGAACTCTTTTTGGGGTAAGTGCAATGGCAAATTGTCCACTAATTGTACTTGCTTTTCCTAGGGAAAAACAAGTGTTTGTTAAAAACCTATCATTTCTTGTAGGAAAGTTTGCGCAACGACCCAACATGACTAAGGTCAAAATCATATCGGATCCAGCTGAATATTTTGACCTCCTCTCCAGCGATCAGATTAACGTCACCGACACGAATTTCATCAATGACGAGCTCATCGAAGTCCATTTTGAAAACGTTGACGAATTCGTGGAAGCCGATGGAAAGACAAATGCGGTTATCGCAGCGTTCACCACAGCCCACGCCCGCCTCAAGCTCTATGGTGTCCTGGAGCAGTTAAATCGCCGAGTCTTATAATTTGACACCGACTCAGTCATCTATGTTTCAAAGGAAGACGAATGGGAGCCGCCGACGGGATCCTATCTTGGTCAACTAACAGATGAGGTTACATTACACACTTTGTGTCTGGAGGTCCTAAAAACTATGCCTACGAGACAAACACATACAAAACAGTATGCAAAGTTAGAGGGATCACCCTCAACTACAGAACTGCACAAAAGGTTAATTTTAATTTAATGTGTGATATGGTTTGTTTAGAAGCGTTGTCTGATCTCACAGATAGCATAACTGTAAATATACCCTACAAAATAAATAGAGACACTAAAGAGAAAAGTGTAAAGACGAGGAGTGAGAACAAGGACTATCGTATTGTATATAATAAACGTGTGATTGTAAATAATTTTGATACATTGCCTTATGGTTTTTAAATTAATAAATGATTTCAAACATAAAAGTTATGTGTGTAATGGAACAACTGCGGGGATTTTGGGGGATTTTCTCCCTAGAGGAACATTCGTCTTTATTAGGGATTAATATCGGTAATTATGTTTCCATGAGGACGTTCGTCTGTGCCGGGGACAAAAATTAGTCCCCGGAGGGACTATTTCTAAAGGGACAATCGGCTATAATAGGGACTAATGTTGGTAATTATGTTCCCGTGTGCTCATTCGTCTATACCGGGGACATCCGGGGACAAAAATTAGTCCCTAAAGGGACTATCTGTAGAGGGACAATCGGCTATAATAGAGACTAATATTGGTAATTATGGCCCAATGGGGACATTCTTCTGTGCCGGGGACATCCGGGGACAAAAATAGTCCCCAAAGGGACTATTTGGGTAGTTGTATGCTCGGAAACATTCATTTGATAACATGCCTCGAACGCGTAAGGTCTGTCCCGTGTGCGGAAAGAAAGGTTTATTAAGGTTACAGAACATCTTTGAGTGTTAATTTTGCCTAAAATTTTTTTATTAGTTTTCATGAAAGCATTAGACTAGTTCTACTATCTGACCAAGTTTGAACGAAAAATGTTGAAAACTCGCAGAGTTATTTAATAAAATACATTTCGCTGCAATAAGAAAAACATTGAAAATGTAACATTCAAATTCAATTTTCTCACGAAAAATTTTACGGTAATTACTGATTTTCAAACGAGTTATGCTCCTGCGGATTTTAACCAATTTTTCTCAAATTTTCAAAAGACATAGCTAAATACGTCAGTTTTAAAATTGTGTTCGGCTTTTTTAAATGTTGGATAGTTTAAAAATAAAGAGCAAATTCACTCAAACAATTCAGAAATATATTGCAGTCGTCAAAGAAATCGCCATATCGGAGGAATGACAAAATAAACAAAAATTTCCGAACACAATTTTTTAGAACAACTATTTTACTGTACAAAAATGATATTTTCATAAATATAACTTAAAATCAGCAGGAGCACAACTCAAAAGCGTAAAGGTACCGCTATTTAAGATTTTCCTGAATAACTCGCACATTATTTTATTGTTTGTTAATTTTACAACTTCACTATATTGTGCATGCACTGGAGAACATTTGGTGAAAATTTGATGAAAATCGGTCTGATATTGAGCGCGCAGTAGCGATTTTCCGGAAAACGCCAAAAAGGGTGTCCTGTAACCTTAAAATTATCTAATCATTTAACCAATGTTCATAAACTATCTACTCAAGAGAGACAACCATACCTTATTCGTGCTAAGAAAATGCCTATTGATAAAGCAACGGTATTAATCCAGTTGCAAAAGATAAATAGACTGATCGAAAAGTATCTGCTTTCATTTTCATCATGTACTCCATACAGTTAAGACACCCTTTTGGGCTTCTCGTTTCTGGCGGTACAAAATCAGGCAAAACCACCTTTGTCAAAAGGCTTCTCAGCTATGCCAATGTGCTGATTGATCCAACGCCTGAAAACATTATTTACTTCTATGCCGAATATCAAGACGCATTTGGAGAAATACAAAATTTAGTGCCTGGTATAAAATTCATACAAGGCTTGCCGGATAATATAATGGATAGTATTAATCCAGAAACACACAATTTGTTCATCATTGACGATAAGATGGGTGAGAAGGATGGAGTGATTTCTAAATTGTTCACGAAAAAATCGCACCATGGTAATCTAAGCGTAATGTACATTGTGCAAAACTTGTTTCACTAAAGCAAAGAGCATCGCACAATATCTCTCAATGCAAGTTATTTATGTTTAACTAAAAATGTTCGCGATGCAAGTCAAGTTACTCATCTCGCTAAACAACTATACCCGAGTCAAACGAAGTTTTTCCAACAGGCTTATCAATTGGCAACGAAAGAACCTTATTCTTATCTATTTGTCGACTTAACTCCTACATGTCCTGACGAGATACGGATTCGATCCGGGATCTTTCCAACCGACACGCATTATGTCTATCAGCCCAGAGTATAAGAATGTGGGAACGTGTGTAAAATGTTCATTTGATCATGTCTGCTTGTATGAAGAGGAACTCCGAAAGTCTGAAAGTATTGGCCAAGTGCAAATCCGAACTGAGAAAAGCTATTTTGAAAGCGGCTGAAGACAATTTATTCGAAGCGAGAAGACAGTGTCCATTAAACGTTTGGTTTGAAACGGTTAAACTTAAACCGAAAACAGCTAAAAAACTTGCACAGCATTTCCAAGCATTTAAAGTTTGCGGCTGACAAAAGAAATCCTATCGTAAAAAGAAGAACACGTCTAGTCCAAAAAGGGGAGAGTTTTCTACCGTTTCTACTCACTTCAGTTTTGGAACAGTTGGCTAACTTTTTATAATGGAACACGTCAAGCGACTAGTCCTTGTCCCTGAACATATGGTTGAACAGCGAAAGAAACCTCTCGCGGCGCCTCTGGCAACACAGGTTAACGAAATAGACTCGGAGATGCAAGATATTATTCGACGACAAGATATACCAATCGATGAAAAGGCAAAGTTATACGACCAGAATCTGCAACGCTATTTAACCTTTTATGATAAACGAATGAATAAACCTCTCCGAGTAAACGTGACGCACATCGATAAAGCTGAAGAACCTCAAGGAAATCAGCCGAGTGAAGAGGCGGAACCTTTAGACGAGATTGAAACAGATATCATGAATAGTGTACCAGCTACTATGAAGTCAAGTGCTCGACAACTCATCAAAAAACTCAAGTGAAATAAAAATCTTGTTGGTTGGAATGAACAAGGCCAGATGGTGTTCAAAGGAAGACCGGTTCCTAGCACAAATATAGTTGATTTGGTGAATGATTCTCTACGTCAGAGGAAGAATTTCAACCCCGACGGCTGGGAATTGTTTTCAAAAGTTCTCGGGCATTTGAATGTACCCGAAGGTATTGTGAGAAACTACAACCGTTTTGGAATTGTTCGCAAATATAAAACCAAAAGTATCCCGGAAAATCTACCCACCATCCCTCAAAACGCCCGGTCACCAGTATCCCATATGCGTGAGGAAAAAAGAAAGAAACGTAGAGACATAAAAAATAGTCCATATAAATGGTTAAAATAATTCATTTCTTGTAAGAGAAAATTTTACATCTAGTGTTTGTACCACTTGTCTATAAAGTCACGCACAAGCTCATCATTCCATTCTTTGCTATCCGTAAACATATTTGCAATGGTTGACATTGGAATACGTCTACATCGATGTAAAGCAAAGAATAATGTATACTGTCCACACACGTCTGATGAAAGGGCTTGCAAAATTCTTCTGTTCCATGTAAATGCAGAGTAATGTTTGTCAAAGAATTGAGTAAAGTTCTGATTGTAAAATCCAGGAGCCTGACCATACGAATCCCAAAATTCCCCTTTACCATCTTCTGTAAGGTACATTGCAATCCAGTGTGATCCGGGCATATCCGATGCGTCGGTGTTAAGTATGTACCCTCTAGGCCTCTTTCTTATTTCGCGAGGTAAACGATCTGACGGTAAAACGTCCGTAAACACCGTTTTGGTAAATGGATCATTTTTGAGAATGTTCATAATCTGCAGCGAGTTCATCTCCAGTTGTTGAAATCACACAGCACGTTCCGGTTCGCATCAATTTCGATAAGACTTTGAAATTCGCCAAGTACCATAATATTTATAGCTGTCTCCAACGGTGTTCCAAATCGACATTCAATTGATACATTTCCGTTCTTAATCGGTTGTACATGATCACCAAGGCACAAGTCTGGCGTGAGGTCAAACACAAACAGTGTATAACCGTTTGCATATTCTTCACGCGTTATACCATTACCCTGATTATCAAAAATCTTGTGTGCGCCGGCGTACAGGGTTTGAAAAGCGGAAATGTAATTACTGTCTGCTCCAAATTTCAACTGTAGTGGTTTTCCAGGTAAGTTCTCTCCGTTCACAGTGAGACCCATGGTTGTGATATCGTAATTTTTAAAATTGAACGCGTTCTTCGTATATGTACCGTTAAAGGCATCCGCGTCGACCATGCTAATCACGATACGATTTGGTAAACCACCTTGAAATATATTAGGTTGATTTCCAGACATATTCCCCCGAGGTACGGAGACAACCTTACAGTCGATCCTGTTGACCGGGTATTTAGCAGTGATTTGTTGAAGGGACTGGGAATGAGCCAGTATAATGCTAGGGGCTACGTTAACTCGTCGTACACGAAACAAACATTCCTCGATGACCACTTTGAAATTGGGATCTTCTGCGGATGATACCAAACAAAACGGATCTCTAGATCTGACTAGCTTGATCTTGATTGGAACAGCACCGAGAATATAACAGTATTGCGCAAATAGATCAGAATGAAGTCGTCCTTCCATGGCGACAGATTTGCTTTCACGTGTATATGCATGGCGTTGTTTAAATCCCGTGTTGACGTGGGCATCTTGTGCGAGCGGGTTTACTGCATCCATCTTTCCAGCTTTATCTTTATAAAGCAGTGCTGAGGTCAAATGTGAATCTTTAGCATCTTTACTAAAGTTCAGGATCGTTTCGATATACGCTCGGTAAGAGTAGGCTGTGTTTGATGGGGTAACCAGTTTGTTGTTCAGAAATACTTCAACTTGTGAGAATAATGCATGCATCCAAAGGTTTGAAGGTCCAACTTGAAAGTCGGCACCCACTTTACCTCCGGCCGCAGTAGTGATCTTTGCTTTAACGTATAGGTAACTGCTTGCTAAGTCAGTATAAACTCCAGAATTTGCAGCACATAAAAATTCTATCGTATCTGAAGAAGATATACTCGTAATAGGATCAACATCTTCCCAAAATCCTTTTTCCTTTACCACTTGAGTCGGTGGAACAGAAAATAAATCAAGTTCAGATTTTGAACACATACACGAGTCTTTATGCATTGTTTCAAGAGCCATGCCACTTTGGACAAAAGTTAGCTGCTTTTTGGTTGGACCAGGAATGGGAGTTTTAGTTGGCGCTGCTCCTTTTATACTCTTTTTGCGACCCTTTCCGGTCATTACTTTCTTGGCAACATTTTTTGCAACATCAGATGCTGCTTGTTTTCCTCGTGATTTAAAAGCTTCTTTTACATTTTTTCCTTGGAGTACATCTTGACTGACTTCTGCGGCTGCTTGCAATGCTCTTTTGCCAACAACTTTAGCACTTTGTTTGAACAGAGGGATAGCATATCTCGCAAGGCTCTTGAAAATACTTCCGATTCCATATCCCCTTTGCATACGTGCCCCACGAAACCCTGCGATATTCCCACCACGTTGCTGTCTCAAGAAATGGTTTTTTAATAGTTTAGCATCCACAACTAGTCTTCCGCGCATTTTTAGATAAAGTACTGAGATCTTTTCTGTCTAAAGTGAAGTGTTGCGATTGACTTGCCGAACTCAAATGAGACGTTTTCGTTTTGGTCATTCTTTATATTAACTTCAATGGTCTCAAAAGAATTTACTTTGACCGGTACGTATTGCAAATTACGAAAACTGGCGTGAACGATGTTTCCATATTTCCCTTCGATATTAACGATTCGTAGTAAAGGCACTTTCACATCGCCCACAAACTGTGCATCAACGATATCAGTATAGACATACATGGAGGAAAATCCACCATTGATATCTGCAGCATAGGGACTCGACGTTTTCTTTTCAATAAGTGTGTCCTGGTCAAATCCCAAGACCGTTGCTAATTCGCCGGTAAACCACACAGTTGTGCCGTGTTTTACATCAAAACCTTGCGAGAACTGCGATTATCACTAAAATTTACTTTCGTCTGTGTTTCTTTCGACATGCCGGCATTGAGTGTTTTTGCTAGTTGGCCGATAGAAGAATATCGTGTTTCTTTAATCACGACAGTTTGATAAGGGCTACTGCCAGTTTTATACCAAAACGTTTGTTGCACTCCACGTCTTAGCGTACTCCACGTATGTGGGTAATGCATTTCCGTCAATGCGACTTCCCATTGTCCTGGCAAGACAACGGTTTCGGCCAATTTTACTCTGAAATTCGCTACCGTATTCGTAAAATAAGCCAACGAACTATTACTCGGTAGCGTGAGTTATGAGTTTCGAATACATTTATTTAATATCTTTCACACTCTCTGCTGGTACCCAAGAATTGAATTTATCAGGGTAGCCCAGCCATTTTACAAAATATTCTTTTCGTTTATTACGAATGCGTGATCCAAGTACTTCTTCAACTCTATAAAAATCACTATCTGTTTTATTCACTCTCTGAAGCTCTTGTTCGTAAAATGTTCCTTTCAACTCCTCGTCATCAAAATCAGCAATTTTGTACACGGGTGGGCGTCGAAGAACACGTTTGGTTATCGTGAACACTTCTTCGGTCCAATTAGGTAAGTATCCTTTCTTAAATGTGCGCTTTGCTTTGCTGATTCGTACTTGATCACCAATGTTAAACTTAAACCGAACGGGTTTGTCTGACTGTTCTCCATAAAGTTTCTGCCACACAATGCTCTCGTTGTCTTCATTTACATCAACGGGCCTCATATACCAATACTACGATGTCTCGAATGATTATAAGATTTTACCAGTTTCTGGAGAATGTCCACGTACTTGAGCGTATTCTTCGCTGTAAAGTATTTCCACATTTTCGTCTTGAGCGTACGATTAAACCTATCGACAATCGATGCCTTGGTCTCGTTTTGCGTCGTGAAAAACCGGATGTTATGTTTCTTCAAAAAGGCTTGAAACTTTCGATTCATAAACTCTGTACCTTTGTCGGTGTGAAACGTTTCAGGCTTTCGACTCTTTTTAAGTATTTTCTCAAAAGTTTTGACAAGATTTTCTCCAGTCTTTGTTTTTATCGGTTCAGCCCACGCATATTTGCTAAGTACATCGATTACAGTTAAAACGTACTTAAAACCATTATTGTATTTGCTTAACGAGTCCATAATCAGAAGATCCGCCTCCCATTGCTCGTCAATTGCGCCTACAATGACACGGTTCCGTTTGAAACGATATCTTATAGGTTTATGTAAAGTATATCTGTCTTGGTTTTGTAGCCATAGCCGTATTTTATTCCGCGATATCTGATGTTTGCCTTTGTCTTTTACGACACGGTAAATTGAATCTACGCCACCAAAACTTGCGAGACTTTCTGGATTGTAATAGATTTGGCTCAGGTACTTTTCTGCTATCAATGTCTGAGGCTTGAATTACAATTTTCCCTCCACAGCGAGCGGAAATACAACGCATCTTCCGAAAGATATCTCGGAGGAAAATTTCTGGAAGACTTTTACCACAACAGGGCATCCTTTCACCTCAGAGGTTAGAACGAAATGAATCATGCAGCAATCATAGACTAACATATAAAGCTATTGACGTAAGTGAGAGCGTTATTAAAATTGGTTGTTTATTATTCCTCTTCGCTTTTGGGATATGAAAAGTTCGAAAGGCCTCGACCGTTTTTCGGACATGTTCTCGAACGCTTTCCTCGCTGTCACTTTGCACACAAACTAACGCTAAATAAGCAAAAATGCGACCAAAGTTTGTCATATTTATTTCTCTGTAGACTTGGTCAAGGTTTAGACCATGAGCATTCACTGCATGATATAGATCACGATGGTGGTCGAGAATTGCATTTATATGAAACGATAAAGTCTGCTTATCGATATCAGTTTCATTTTGTCTCAACTCGTCAAAAATTATATTTATATTATTCATCTCACCAGAGAACCTCTCACCATAAAGGTTAAAACCCAAATGAGAAATGTAAGTGATTTATCTCAATAACATACAGAACACATTCATGATGATAAAAACAATTTATTTCGTTTTATAACAGTTATTTATATTTCTTAAGGAATTCTTCGTACGCTTCCTTAGCATTAATGTTAGTACTAGTGAATGTTTCTCCCGTGTCTTCATTCTTGTATCGATATTCTAGCGGGTCACTGAATAGGACAAAGCCAGTCTTGGCCACACGAGGTTCGATCTCTTTCCATTCGAAAAATCCACAGCTGTCTATCTGAGGGCAACAGTAAAACAGGTGATTCTGGGTGGGTCCTTCTTTTTTCACTTTACGTACGGTGCATACCCTCCCGTGCTTGCAGCGCGGTCGAGGGCTTTCGTAAATGTCTCCCCATTGCCAAAAGTTGCAAGGATCATGTCGATCAGAACACGCGAAGAAGGGTCTTCCATAATTATCTTTCAATTTATCCTTTACCACACGTAATTTGGCCAATTTCTGATGTGTTGGGCAAATGGGATGACTGGAACCACTATTCTGACAGGCTTCATCGCTCTCGTAAACAGATAACACTCTTCGTCATGGCAAAAGAACTCGCAGTTCGGTGTTTCGCCACAAAACCAAAACGTACCACGAGCAGTTGTAGAACAAGCAGCTGGTTTGCCGTGAAAACATTCCATCGTGAACGTTGAATACAGACTATGCAGGCGAAAGGACACTAGCTGTATTTATAGTGATGTTACTGTATTGTAATGCTAATTGGTTGGCTGCCACATTTGGCCCAGACCTGCCCGCGTTAAATGGTCGCGCTACCTGTCACGTTTGGCCCAGGCCTGCCCGCGTTAATTGGTCGCGCTACCTAGTGTCATAGATTTTGAAAGTCATTATAAATTCCGCCACATATTGTTAGCTGAACAAAGTGACGTCATTAGCGGCATTGGCGGCATCCCTTTGAACTCCAGAGTGGGGGGCTTCACTACTTATGTATAGGTTATTTTGAGGCAACCAGGGGATATATGAATAAACACATATCCCCAAGGTGCCCCGAAGTAACGTACTTAATTTTCATATTGCGAGGTCGCGTCCTAAAATGCCATATTGCCTTCGTTATGTGTTTTTTTCTTATTTTTTGTGCAGCAAAGACATTACAGGTGAATATTAGAGGGTTTTATTAAACGGAAATTGATTAGAGGGGGATATTGAATATATTCCCCGATAAGAACAAAGGAAACCGAGCAGGGTGAAAAATAAGTTCCATTTATATTAAATTAATTAAGGAAATAATTAAAGAAATAATGCCATTCGTTTACTTCAAGTTGTAGTAGTTAATATGCACAACTGAACGAAAACGAACGTATAGCCTCATTAAACGAGCGATCTATTCGTCGAAATGCACAGAAACTGGCCTGCTCATTGGTAGAGACAGCACATCATGAATTATCGTCTGATATTGAACGAATAGTTATAATCACATACCGTTCCACGTAACAAACGAGCTAATTCTCATTGGTTAAGACAGCTGACACTGACAGCACATCATGAATTTGCGACTGATGTTACACAGCGAACGGACTTATACTCGCAAGACGCAAGGACAATACAATTATAAGTTATTCGAAATCCATTGTCAAATATTCAATATTTTAGAAAGGACTCGACACTTGCCCATGTTAAACTCCAAAACAAATGTTCACATTGACAGGCAGGCATGCATTGCTGTATTTCGTTGAAAAATCCGGACCATTAACTCACAACTCACAAACTTAGGAAACAAAACTCCCTGGCAATACGTGGAGTGGGATGCTCGCTTGGGCACCAGTTATTGCAAGGCCAAGGAATAATAATTTATAGAAACGCTGAAGTAATATAACAGATTACCGGTTAACAATTAATGCATGGCCTGTACTTCGTTATTTAAGCTGAGATACTAGCATTCTTCCTCTAACAATTATTCAATATTCACACTCAGTACACACAAATAAACGGAGAATAAAAGATTAAGTGCAACTGACAAAAATTGCGGAGCGGTTGCAATCTCATATAACTCGTTCATCGTGACTACGGTTGAAAGACATCAAGGCATTATTAAAGTATACTTGCATTTAAAATATTTCCATAAAGACAAGCATGAAAAGTGCAATTTGCATCGCTATTCACTATTCATGCAGATAATGTCAAAAAGTATGTGTATCCTAAAACCAAAAAACGTAATTATCCCAAAGACTATATAAAACTTCGGTAGTTTTGATTCAATTTATAGCCATTTGCTAAACAATAACCTATGTTTTGATACATGCATGTTTAATTGTAATCTTGACATATAACTTATTAGCTATCCTTATTAACATAACTAAATATTCGTTCGTTTTCGTTGAGTTGTGCATGTTAACGAGTAAAAAAATATTTTTGGTGATTTTTACACCCGGCATTTTGCTGACTATCTTATGGCTAACTTATATTAAAGCAATAAGGCTAATTATTGGCTAACTTATATTAAAGAAATAATGTCATTCATTTAATTACTTCAAATTGTAGTAAAAAAATATTTTTGGTGATTTTTACACCCGACATTTTGCTGCGCACAAATTATGCATTTGAATTTTATTCCGTCGGCCTCATTACAAAGTTTTGGGTTGCATGCATGAGCTACGATCCATTAAGATTTTGACTTAACGTTCAGTTGCACGCTGAGCAAAATAGTAATTTTTATTCTATGTCACGTTAATCTTTCTTATTATATAAAGTATAGCGCTTTACAGAGATTTCGAGCACTGATAAAAGTGATAATCTTACATGTGAGATTATTCATGATAATCTCACATGTGAAAATTATTGCTTTTTAATTATCGCTTTTCTGTAAAAATTATCGCTTTTCAAAGACTGTCCTTTATATAATAAACAGAAAAATACATGAGTGCTTGGAAATACCAGATTTATTTGTCGTGTGTTGAACATGTTATCTCACTCGTTCGCTGCGCTCATTTGTGAGATATCATGTTCAACACTCGAAATAAATCTGGTATTTCCGCGCACCCACGTATTATTCTCTATATAATCAGCCAATTAAATGCCAGAATTTAGTGATGTGTTATCTGGAAATATATAACTTAAAATTATATTAGCTGTAGAGCCCGGTTACTGTTTGCCAATTAATTGGCCAATAAAACGGTTACCTTCTGACGTTTCAGTTGCATATTTTTCACATTGGGTAACTCCGTATAACCCAAATCCTATTATTAAGTGTTAAAGGGTTTTGTAGATAGAAATTTCCAGCGGAAGATTACATATAATTTTAGACCTAACTAGGAGCGGTCGCAAAAAATGCAGCTATAGACCAGTCGAACTGCCGCCCTGCGATTCCGGTGCACTGCAGCGCTCCTTTAAACATCTGAAATTTTTAGATCCACATGATATAGCACTGTTTATTAAAACCGGTGGCGTAGTATTGATAATGTAGTAACTCGGGTTTAGTATTGATAAAGTATTAAGGGTAACGTCAACGGCTGTTGTAGGGTCACGTCAAAGACTCTTGTTTGTGTTTATCAATTATCAGGGAAGTAAGAAGTTCATCAGGGAAGTAAGTTACGAAATAAGATTGTATCCAGATTGCTCTGTACTCTAATTGCACTAAAGATTCCTTGCTGGTATTATGTCATTGTTTAACATACATCACGCCATTATATATAGCCTTTTCCTGCAGTAGTTGCTCTATCCACCTACTACTCTTTTCAAAGAAATGTGTCCTTCGCAACTTTTCTTCACTTTACTTTCTATTTTTGCCATCTCTTTTACTGTTTCATTTATCCTTTTCTCTTTTAGCCAAATTTCCTGTACTACGAGTATAGCATTCTCGTATTTGTACTTATAAGTTCTATAGTCTTTCTTTTCGTTTCCAGGATCAGGTGTTTGCTTTGCTACAGTATATAGATCAATTTGTATTTTCGTTTAACATATACGCCACAATACCCTTCAACTATTATTCAATCGAGTGAGATGCCAACAAAATCTTGATATTTACCCATAATCTAGGCACTAGTATATATATATACACGAACTTGTGATTAGAGCTCGACAACTGACCGGCTGCAGCTCAGTTGGTTCTAGCGCTGCACCGGAAACGCAGGTTCGATTCCTACCACGGACTTAAAGTTCGGCAGCTGTTCCTGGTTAGGTTTAATAAATGTATATAAATTTCCACTCGGCAATTTCCATCTACAATACCCTTCGACTATTCTTCAATCGAGTGAGATGCCAACAAAATCTTGAGAATTAGAATTATTCACATACAGTTTTTCAATTAAGGTGGTCCCGGATCAAAGGGGAAAAGTCGAATACGAGCGCGAAATGCTTGCTGCATGGGAATCGCTAAAAAATTCATTAATTTTTTAGCGATTCCCAGCAAGCCTTTCGCGCTCGTATTCGACTTTTCCGCTTTGCTTGGGGACCACCTTAATTGAAATAGCTGTATACCTGCGGTATGTCGGCGGGCTATTGTCGTTACCAGTTTTACCAAATAATTCACAAAAGAATATATGCATCAACAGCTGTAAACAATGATAGCGCAGGCATATGTGAACCGGGCTTCATGCAGGGTGTCTAAAAAAATGATCATATAATTTTAATGCCTGAGTTCTATACTGAACACACGGTTACGTAAACTCAATTGAATAGAATTTTATACATGGCTTTTGGTATCGTTTATGGTAGAATTTTATGCAAGTTTATGGTATCGCTAAGGTTGAACATTATGTATGAATATGACTATGTGCTGGTTAATTTAACGCTACGCGTAAACAGTAAAAACTCTTTGCTCTGTAGTTAGTTGAACCATTTTGAATCGAACTGAGTTTTAAGAGACTAATTTCTAAGTCGTTTTAACCAATTTCAAGGGAATATATTTTCAAATTTAAAATTGGTCAACCGTGCGGAAACTAATTGTTTTCTAAGCAACTTTTTGCTACTCAAATGACGATTGAACAGTATTTATATATTTATATATTATTTTTATTTTCCAATCTCAGCTACATATTATAGTTCAACCACAGTATAGGGAGACAACCAGTAGGACCACTCAGGGGAGACAAAAGTGGGAATTTTTTAAGCAAGGCCCCATAGTGAACTGCTGCTGTTTACTGGCTGGCAACATGTTAACTAGGTTCGCAGCCAGTAAACAATGCGCGGACACTTTTTGATGCTAGGTAGCCCTAATATTGTCTCCCTATACTGTGGTTCAACACTTCAACTGCGTTTGGGCCTCCAGCGCAGAGCGCGTCATTTGGATGAGCAGTAGAAACTCCAAATTGGTCTATTTTGTGGTCTTTTACCGTCTTCTTATAAATCACATTTGAGAACTCCTTCCATTCATGTCAAGTACTGTAGCTTGTTCCCTTATCCGACAGCTTATACTCACAAACACATTTTCCTTGGATCGGACCACGTCTCCGAAATGATTAGACTTAACCAACTAATTGGTGTAACTACAGAGTCAATAGAATAAGAAGATTCAGACATAATAGAGCTCATTATCTATGTTTTTTGTCTCGATTTATGCAAGAAAACTCAGTTCATCGTCGCGTGTGAATTGTATTTTCGCTAAAGCAACCAATAGCTATGCCTTCACTTAACCATTGTGTAATATCAAGACTGGGTAATTAATTAAACCAACACACTGCTATTGGTTGGTTGGGCAAAAAACAATACACACGTGACGATGAACCGACCATTCTTTGCATAAACCAAGAATCATGAGGTATATTATGTCTTCATCCATGCAGTTCCCTATACCTTCTTGTTCCATAGACTATGGTGTAACACCTTCACTATTATGGATACCAGAGCTGTTTCCTAACTATTCTTTGTTTTTGGCAAGACTAGATCGTGTGAAGATCGCACCAAATCGAAAACTCAGAATTCAAGCTGTATTTTTGTATTTACATAATCATACTACCCTACGGTTACAAAATAAGAACGGAGATTGCAGCCGACCGTGCCAATTTTATTGTTTAGTGTCCCTGCAGTATGACTATAGTAAGGTTTTTGAAAGACTTGTTCCTTATGATTGGTTAACAAGTACTATAGGATCTTTCGTGCTTGTCTTTGCTCCGCAGAATGTTCAGATTTTCGTATAAAAAGTTTGAATCCAGACGCTTTTCTTGCTCATGAGGACGGGCTAGACTTAACCTATGATGGCAAGCGTTTAAAATGGAATAAAAACTTCGAAGATCTAAAATATTTTTTCAAGACAGTTGTTGGCCTGAACGGCAAATGGACATCGCCGGGAGGGAACTCTAAGAAGTTATCAAACTGTAAATCTAACATAACAATTACTTGGTATTATGGTAAACGAAGAACACTCCTATTCCAAGGAAGGGAAGGGTATTTGCTGAAAGACGTTTTAATAAAATTTTGTGAAGCAAACTCTACGTTAAAGTACTCAGAACCTCAATCGTCGCCTAAGCGAGCTGATTGCTATGAAGTGGCTTGCGCTGTAACTGCGTCCGTTGAAAGAACTATTACACCTAACGCAGAGAATTTAACTAACTTGTCTAATATCGATGACTTAAGTAATATATCTCAGACAGATGCTATATTTAATATATCCAAAATCGATGATATACTAACAAGCTCTGATGCTTCTACTATAAAGGAACTTGAGGGCTTTATCGACAGGTCATTTTGTAGTGCTTTTGGGCTGCCTGATTTTGCCCAACCGACGGACATGTCTACTCCATCTAACCGACACACTGATGGAAATCTAGCCAAACTTGAATCACAATTTTTCACTTTTAAGGAAAGTGTTGAGGCACAGCTGCAAAATTTATCTTATAAACTCTCTAAGCAGAATAACATCATTAAGTCAAATAAACAAGAACTATGCAAATTAAGAGAGCTTGCCTGTAAGAATCACAGATTGTGTGGCAGATATGAAAAACTGAAATTTCTTCAATTTCCCTCGATTTTATATATATTGTAGACCTATCCAATCCCACACATTTACTGAAGATTCAGCCATCAAACAAAAAATGAAGAAAAGTTAGAGCACTTCAAAAATCGAACCAAAAATGACGCGAAATGTCCAAGAAATTACGCTATATAAAGCAGTCAACATCATGTGCTGTGCTGAGCGCGCATTATACGTTTTTGCTCTGCTGTTACAATATATGTCTTTAGAATATATGGAACTTTCTCGTGATATCTTTTCTCCATAAATAGAAACTTATTGACTTGGTTATTTTAGATCAAAGATGGTTGAAATTTCCGGGTTTTCCAAACTAGCCAAAGTACGTCTTGTGAATCGCCTATTTAAATATGGTCCTACTTTCTTTATCAATGTACATATGCATAATTTGTTAGGGCTAGGATTTAGTCATTCGACGACGATTTCAGATGTTTGGGATTCTTTTGTGTCTTGGCGAAATTTGCAGTTAAACATGTACAATATTAGCGTCATGGGCAATTCCAGCTATAGACTAAATTTTGATTTGGGCAAGAAAAGCAAAATCCATCAGCACAGCTAGAAAGAGCATGTTAAAATTAGTAAAATTACATAGTTTGGTTGCAAAATGTTGTAAAATGAGGGAAATATAGCCCTGCGAAATTTGCAAATTTTGTATTAATTTGTCCGCAATAGACCATTATTTTGCGTAATAGACTAAATTTTGATCTAAACGAGTCTAGGCAAAAATTTCATCCCAGCTTGAAAGAGCATCACAAAATTAGTGATATTCGAAAGTTTCGTTGCGAAATGTTGTAAAATGCGGAAAATATAGCCTTGCGAAGTTTGCAATTTTCAGTCATTTTAGATTGCAAACGGGAAATTGACAGCCTTGAAGGCCGTTTGGGGCTTTCTCAACAAAGTTGTAACGCAGCGAGACTAATTGTCCACTGTGGTTTGATATTGCAACTGAAACTGTCTGATTATGTTACATTGGTTTGTTACAGTTCTTGCAGCTTAAAGGTAAGTCCATTGTATTTTTTGTATTTCCTTAGCTGAGGGTCCTGAAGAGGTTCCAATCCCATTTCCCACCCGAAATTTTGGCAAAATCCCAGTCCCAGTTGGATTTTTATTAGAAATCCCAATCCTAGTTATTGAAATCCCAGTCAATAAAAAACCCTTTATTTATCGGTAGAATAAACAGTTTTAAGACCTTTTAAGGCAAGTGGCGGACACTTTATGAAATATTAGGGGGGGCTCGTGTCGAAGGCACGGAAAATTTTTAAATTTGAATCCCGGAAATGGCATTTGCAGCATTCTGAGACACGCATAATTAGAAAACCCAGAATTCCGGGCGCCAGAGTATGCCTGTTCGCAGGTAGTGCTGTGAATAATATAGTTAACAACAAAAATCATGACCAAAGACACCAAAAACGGATCAAAATTGTATTTTAAAATACTCAAAACGCAGAAAAATTGGTAATCGACTCGCATTACCTCAATCCCATTCCCATTTTTGAGGACTTCATTTCCCATTCCCAGTGGCCAAATCCCAGTCCCAGCAACCCAAATCCCATTTTCCCAGTCTAAAAATAGATCAATCCCAGTTCCCATTTTACCCCTTCAGGGCCCTCTTAGCTTTATCTCAAAGTTTTAATTTAAATTACACGGAAATATTTAACTAAGAGTCTAAGTGTTTTCCCAATCACCAAATGTAATGTATAAACTTCCACCGACAAAAATATTAATGGGAAGAATTGTTTCTGCTCTTCCATCATATTTGAACTAAGTTCATATTTTGTCGACAGTAGGGACAGCTCATTACAAGTATTGCAGCAATCACTTGAAACTGAACTGAACCATTTAGTACAGACATAAAAAATAGGCAGTTGCGAGACTGCACGTGCTACTGTTGTTTACAAACAGTATAACAATGCCCGGAAAGTATTACATGTAACCGGCAGACACAGTTCTACTTCTACAGGGTGTATAAAAAAAAGCGCAACCTTGGAATTTCCCAAGAAATCGACATTGTTTTAAAGACAAAAGATTTTAGGCGCCTGGGAATTTAAAATAGCATAACTGTCAAAATTACTGCACACGCGAGTGCAAAATTTATGCATTTATTTAATGCACAACAACAGTAATATGATCTATTAGCAATTCGATTTCAATTCCCAGGGGCCTAAAATCTTTTATGCTTACGAATTGCAAAGTGATTTCTTAGGAAATTCCGAGGTTGCGTTTTTTTTATACACCCTGTATAATGCGGTGCCCTAGTGTCTTCTAGGGACAAACCAAAAACAAAGTCAAAACCGTCGACACTATAAAGTGCATGACAGAATAAATAGTTGCATATTGACAACAGTTTGTCCTGAAGCGGGATTTCAAGCCCCCCCCCTATAGGCAGACCCCCCCCCCCCACCCCCATTGTTGAAACCCGTCGGAAAATTGGAAATTTGTTATGTTGTCGAGTCGTCGAATTTGTCGGAATCGATACGTAAGAAAAGTTATTTCAAAGTATGTGTAATAAAATGCAAGTCGTACATGAATGTATCGATAGGAAATGTAAACAATTAAATACGCAGCGTCAGCGGCGATAAAAAATAATTATTACCTTAGAGATTACATGCCAAGTAAATATGCTTGTGATCATACCTAATTTTAGTGTGCAGTGATAACCAATTTGTGCAGTGATAAAAGTAAAATGTGCAGTGATAAAATGTAAAATGTGCAGTGATAAAATTTGCTTTGATAAGTTGTTAATTAACACAAGAGAATGATTTAATTGAAATTGAAATGATGACCGCCAAATTATCGAATTAAATAATAGTATATGTTTTTTGTACGAAAATCATGAGATTCAGGCAATTTTTAGTTAATATCTGGCTTTTGGTATGTCCGGAAAAATTTTTGACCCTTAAAATGGTACACTGACCACAATTTTTTTGGCGACGGGGGGGGGAGGTCGCCAAAAATTTCCCAATATTCGGAAATTTTCTTAGTCATTCGGAAATTTTTGGCATAAAATGTGCAGTGATAAAAAATTCTTAAAATTAGGTATGCTTGTGATTCCGCATAAACGTACAAACTCACAGACAGAATCAGTAAAGCCGGTGTCAAACTTGGACGAGCACCGTAATTTAAAGTCATGTAACCTTGGGGCTGCGGCTATGTTTTTTACGTTCGGACAAAGTTAAAATGCATGCTTGGTCGTGCATGCATGCATGCGTACGTGCGTGCGCGCAGTATGTATATACACATATACTGTAGACAAAGTAACTTGAATGCAAAGAAAATCATTAAGAAGTAAACTGCGTGTTCTCAGTGTCACTTACAGTGAAGCATGTTAACTTTTTGAGTAGAACAAGCGTAAGATATTGGAATCGTAACGCACCGGTTAATAAAATCCAAGCACGCAATTACGCTAATATTGTACATGTTTAAGCTGAAATTTCGCCAAGACACAAAAGAATCCCAAACATCTGAAATCGTCGTCGAATGGCTACATCCTAGCCCTAACGAATTATGCATATGTACATTTACAAAGAAAGTAGGACCATGTTTAAATAGGCGATTTCCAAGACGTACTTTGGCTAGTTTGGAGAACCCGGAAATTTCAACCATCTTTGATCTAAAATAACCAAGTCAATAACATTTCGATTTATGGAGAAAAAATATCACGAGAAAGTTCCATATATTCTAAAAACATGTATCGAAACAGCAGACCAAAACTTATAATGCGCGCTCAGCACAGCACATGATGTTGACTGCTTTATTTAGCGACATTTCTTGGACATTTCGCGTCATTTTTGTTTTGATTTTTGAAGTACTCTAACTTTTCTTCATTTTGTGTTTCATGGCTGAAACTTCAGCAAATATGTGGGGTTGGATAGGTCTACAATATATATAAAATCGAGGGAAATTGAAGAACTTTCAGTTTTTCATATCTGCCAGAAAATGGTGAATTATTGCGATTTTTACAGACAAGCTCTCTTAAACTGTGAAATTTGCATTTAAAATCATGTATCTCAGAGTTAGAAGTAAAATTGCTGTCAACGAATACATCAAATGCGAACTGTAGTTTGGATCTGGAAAGTCTAATGGTTAAAGAAAATGCTTTCCCAACTGTAAATGCTGATGTCTGTATTACTTCTAGTGGCAGTTCATCTGAAACTAATAACAGTCATGAAAACGTTAATGAACCAACCGTGGACTCTGACCTTGACCCTCCAGTGTCCGAAATGAATAATTACTCAAAGGAATCAATTGAAGCAGTACAGCTTTCAATTTCTGTTACCAAAGAACGAGAAGCTACCCCAATCACTCAAGCGACAAATGATAACAGCAATATAGAACCAAATGTTGGAAAATCTTTCGTCTTAGCACCTCCACAACGGACGCCCTTTTTTAAAACGTCACAACATCAAACCGCCATCATATCGAACATCTCATAGTTATCACTCACTAGAGTGGTTGATCCATCTGGACGTGGTGTACCACATGATGAGACAATGAGAATACCAGCCAGAATCACCTCGCGCTACCCTACACAGAATATGACTCAAAATGGACCAAATTTTTCGAACCTACTAAATATTCAAATTGTAAACTCTAGGGAAAAGACTCTAACTGCGATAACAAAAGAACATGTTCCAAAACCGCTTTCGGATATGCAAAGATCGAAACTTAAAATTGCCCACCTAAATGTTCGCTCAATTAAGAATAGGAATCATCTTATACAGGTTCGAGAACTTATGAAGGATAGGAACTATGATATTTTAGCCTTGTCAGAGTCGTGGTTAAACTCCACGGTGACAAACGCGGAAGTAGAAATCGAGGGCTTTAAACTAACAAGATTGGACCGTTTGGGAAAGATTGGAGGGGGTGTTTGTGTCTATTCTAAATCGTCGATTAAAGTCAAATGTCTCAAAAACATAACAGGGATATCTGAATTCGGATTTCATCAGCTATGGATGCTAATACAACTCAGGAAACTAAGATCAATTCTCCTCTGTGTGAAATATAGGCCTGATTATTGTCCTACTTCAACCTTTCATGATATTTTCATGGAAAATTATATACATGCTCTCACATTAGGAAAAGAAATAATTGTTGTAGGTGATTTAAATTGTGATTTGCTGAAACCGGATTCTCCAGAGGCTATGTCGCTACTAGATTTTTGTACAAGTGTGAATCAAACTCAATTGATAAAAGAACCTACACGTGTAACAGAAACGTCATCTTCCCTTATTGATATTATTATGACGTCGAATGTCAGTTTAGTAGAAAATCATGGGGTCGCTTTATCTCACATTAGTGATCACTATCTAACATATGCTTCTTTGAAACTTAAGATGTTCAAGCCGCCACCTAGTTATAAATGTGTGAGATCCTACAAAAACTACAAACCTGATAGTTTCCTCGCGGATTTACAACGAATACCTTGGTATGATATTTCCATCATGGATGATGCAAATGTAATGCTAGACCATTTCAATGAGAGGTTTCTCCATGTAATGGAAACACATGCACCTGTGAGAACAATGAGGATTAAACACCGCAGCTGCCCCTTTATTAGCACAGAAATTCGCGAACTTATGCAAAACAGAAATAACCTATTGAAAACGGCTCGAAGTACTAAATTAACAACAGACTGGGAAATGTATCTTAAACTAAGAAAAGAAGTAAAATCCAAGCTGAGAGATGCCGAAAGGGAATATGTACGGAAAGAACTAGAGCACAGTCACAACACTAATTCAAAGTGGAAGATAATAAAGAATTGTATTCCTCGTAAAGAAAGCACTCAACAAGTCTACACAAAGGATATGAAAGAAGTTGCTAATGAGTTTAACCAGTTTTTCACCTCAGTTGGTAGGAGAGTATCAGAAGATTGCACATCTTTAATAGAATTATATAACCTGCCTGCACCTCCAACAAGTGTTTCGCTGGCTGTCGCTGAGTCACAAAATTTTAGTTTTGTTCCTGTCTCGTGTGGAGAAGTACGAAGGACAGTTATGGCATTCCAATCGAACAAAGCTCCTGGCCATGACAAAGTACGAATGTCTACGATAAAGGATGCACTTCCATGTATTCTCCCAATTATTACTGACATGATAAATCGCTCGTTACAGACTTCAGTGTTTCCATCAGCCTGGAAAATATCAGAAGTAATACCACTTCTTAAAGAGGGAGATCACGAAGTGGCAAATAACAATCGACCACTATCGTTACTACCAGCGACTTCTAAAATTTGTGAACGAGTAGCTTTAAATCAACTAACCTCTTATACGAACAAAAAGAAATGCCTAAGTAAACATCAAAGTGGTAATAAACAACTACATTCATGTGAGACTCTTGGCGTGTTTATGACAGACAAGGTGTTTAAAGCAATGGACTCAAAAGAACTCACAGTCATACTATTGCTGGATTTGTCAAAAGCGTTTGACAGTATAGATCACCGCAAACTCTTAACAAAGCTAAAAGCATTAGGACTAAGCCTTGGCGCATTAGAATGGTTCAAAAGTTACCTGACCGGAAGGACGCAGCAGGTGAAGATTGGCTCAGTTGTGTCAGAACCAGGTCATATCACTCATGGTGTACCGCAAGTTCGATATTAGGGCCTGCTTTGTTCAATATATATTTGAATGATTTGCCCACCATCCCGAATTTCGGTGACTTAGAATCGTACGTAGATGATTCAAAATTGTATCTTTCGTTTCCCATCAAGTATGTTAATGAACTTATGCGGAATATCAATGAAGACCTGTCAAAAATCACAGCATGGTGCTGTCACAATAGTCTACTAATTAATCCAGACAAGACCAAAGTGTTAGTACTAGGAACACACAAAATGTTGCAACGATTACCGGATGACTTTTATGTGACATTACTTGAGAAAAGGATTACTCCCACTATTTCAGCACGCGATCTTGGGATTCAACTTGATTCAACACTAAGTTTTAACGAACATATAGCAAACACTGTTTCTACTTGTATTGCGAGCTTATGTCAGATAAACAGGGTGAAACATCTTTTTGACCCTAAGATTTTGGAAAATGTCATCTCGTCCCTAGTATTTTCCAAATTGTATTATTGCTCAAACGTATGGTCCAGTACGACTAAGAAGAACATAGAAAAATTACAAAAAGTGCAAAACTTCGCGGCGAGAATAATCACAGGAACACAAAAATATGAGCATATTACTCCAATACTCAAACAACTGAATTGGCTACCTGTCCCAGACATGTTAAAATACTTTGTTGGCGTTCTAACGTTCAAATGTTTGAATGGACTAGCCCCTGACTATCTCAATTCATATTTTCAGGAGAGATTATCTTTACACGATAGAAACACCAGAAATAAACAAAAACTAAACATTCCAGCTTATAGATCGGCGGCCGGACAACGAACATTTGAATACCGAGCAGTATCCCTGTGGAACTCTCTACCTAGTAACATTACTGTAACAATTGTAAAGACTTTAAAAGTAATTTTTATAACTATCTGCTTGAACTCTTTATTTTAAAATCTTAATGAACTTATCTAATTTTAACGATTTTAAACTGTAAATATACAATAGAATAATTTAGATATAATTTACATGTATATTAATCTGAAAAACCAAATGTTTGGAGAATTAATTAATTATAATAATAATAATAATAATAAATACAGGCTTTGGGCGGGGCGTTCAGCCTCGTTTTCGCGATTAAAGCCTCGTTTTGATGCAAAACCGATATCTGCCCAATTGAAGCAAAAAGCAATGGAGAATTTGTTCAATCAGGCCACCTATGTCAGGTTTTGGGCGCTGAGTCAAAAATTTAATTGTATTACGACAATTAACTAGGTATTCAGCCTCATTTTCAAGATTTAAAGCCTCGTTTTGGTGAAAATTAGCGCTTTGCGCGTGATTGAAATAAACAAGACATTGAATAAGACAAGGACAAATTTGACTGATGAATAAGAGCAACGTATACTCTAGCAAATTTGGGGTTCTAAATTCAAACTTCAACAGTGGCAGAGAAGATAGCGAGTTAATGACATTATAAGCTTTGTCCACAGTTTTATAATGCTCTCTGCTTGACATTTTAACACCAATGGACAATAACAATTAATATTTTCTATCCAATAACTTTCCCTTTCATCCGTTAGATTTTTACATCAGTTGTGTCAATAATTCGAACCATAAAATCACTTAAACTCGAATGTCCCTCCCCGAAAAATTTGAGGGAGGAATATTAATGCAAGTCTATATATATTATTAGCGTATGTTAATTAGGATTGGGCCGAAAGGACATGGATTTGAACTTATATCGATTCTGACAAAGGGGCTGTGTCCCGAAACGTATCTTTACTTTATGTATTTATTTATTTATTTATTTATTTGTCAAAGTCGTCTTCCAGATCACTGTTTTGCACGAAATCAAGCTCATCTTCATTTTCTACTTCCTGGCCATGCCAATTAACAATTCGCTAACATCATCAGGGAAACAAACACTGCTCCAGATAACTTTCCCTTTTTCATCTCAGTCATGATTTGTGAGTTCATTCAGATCGAGGATCAAGTGGTTAGCTTTCCTGAAAATCGATGCAACATAGTTTGCACGGATGATATGAAGCTTGAGATTGGTTTCACAAGGTGGCAAGAGGCTTATGTCGATTACTTTCTTATCTTTTTCAAACCTTTGCAAGAAGATCTTATTTTGATTGATGACATAGTATGCATGTTGATTGATGACATAGTTGCATGGCTTCCATATAATGCACAAACAAACGATTCTAAGCCTTGTGAAATATGATCAGGAACGTAACCTGAGGACTGTTGCCTAGCTCAGCAAACAGACCAATATATTCTTGGCGTGTCAGCATTGTTTTCCAGAAAGCTTTCATTCCTTTTCTGAAGAAACTGGAAAAGTAGTCATCAACGGAAAAAGCGTGTAAACCGACGAGAACTTTCCTTTTTCTCAAGATCCAGTGTTGACGACGTCACATCCATAAGCTTCCCAGCTTTCCCTGTTCCGTTGTCGATTATTATTATTATTAAAAATTTTGTATGTTCCCCAAAGGGCTTTTCAGCATACAATTACAATACGAAATTTAAAATAAAGCTATGCTATACTATTCAAAATCTAAGTTATGATTGTCTATTAAAACCTTCATATATATGATACTAAGAATTTAGGTGTTTTTTTAGTTTTTTCTTAAAAACCTTGAGTTCTGGAATCTTTTTCAGTTCATCATCAATATCGTTCCATATCTTAACTGCGCGATAATGAAATGTTCTTTGCCCTGCAGTAGTTTTATAGCTTGGAATATTTAAACAGTAGTTATTTCTAGTCTGGAAATTATGAATATCAGATCGCTTTGTGAATTTATTTAAAAGGTAACTTGGCGCAAGGTTGTTTAGCGGCACCAAAATCATGTGCCATGAACAGAACTAGGATATCGATACCTGGATACCCTGATACTAAGTTGAACAACTCATCCTTGTCAAGATCAGGTTGGAAGGGATTGATGAATTGTATCCCCAATACGACCATTATTTTTTCCACCATCTTATTCGACTTTAGAATTTCACTGCTTCGTAGAATTTTCGTGGATTCGACGTTGTAGTGGACATTCTTGATAGGTTCAGTAACGATTCGACAGACTTGGTTTGATATGGTCTATTCATGACCCACTTTGAAACAGTATTTTCTTTTGCAGCAAGCTGCGTGACTCCACCTGAAAAACAAAGAGAATGGCAATACATCTGAAGTATATAACTATGGCGTTCGTCATATGCAAGGAAAGATTGTTTAGGAAGATCGCATTAATACAACAGATATTTTAATTCATAAATATGAAATTACCCGCAGTCTTTGCGCTTCTCATGTAACTTTGTTCGCCTGCCATGTCGATTGCTTGACCTATGCCAAGTTGACTTCTCCTCACGGACAAACCATGCAAGATCTTCGATATCCTGTCTTGCTCCTGGGTGAGTGCTGTCGATACATTCTAAGCCACCGACATAATATGTGCATTCAATAGCGAGCATAATGAACCCGATTGGTAGCGAAGCACAAAGGCAAAGATTTTTTTCCAATGAGCATTTTCAGATCATAATCATTGGTATTGATGGAAAAGTGCAATTTCTGCTGACGATCAATTAGCTCCATATATTTTTCCCAATACTGGGGTGTTTTTCCAAATTCTCCGTTCAAACATTTGGTTTTCTGTGTTTGGCATTGCTTAACATATTCTTTAACAGTGTCATCGTTAATAATGTTCGTTAAACTTGTTTCTTGGGCGGGGTCACTTTGGGCGAACTCCTCAACTTTCTCTGGCATGGTTGGTAAATATTGTTCTATAAATAGTCTTTTCAATGCTTCTGAAAAAGCTTGGTGAACAAGCCAACATCGATTGTAGTGTTTTCCACTCATCACTCCGGTAATGCTTCCAGAGCTACATAGACCCGCTTGAAATAACACATCTTCGAATCCACTACCCTCGACGAAACGCACAATAACCGCAAAAAAGGCCATTATTGCATGAAAATCCCTAGATGAATTATAATGTCGGACCATGCACCTGGATTGTTCCAAACCACATGAAGAGCTTTGATTGCAGCTCCCACGTCGAGAGTGATCTAAATGTAGGATATGTTGGATTGCTTCGCTAGCTGTTTAGATTGATGGAACATTTCTATGATGGTGGAGTATTCAGTTATTGGGGAAGAAATAGAAGTCAAGTATGTCATCAGTGTTGCTTTGCTATGAGTTTGCTGTATGTTTTTTTTACCCAAAACAGCAAATTAAAGCAAGAAAGTCGTGAATTTGAAACATTTTTCCAACCCGCGAGAATTGATCGACGTGCTATTATAGCAAGATTTAAGTTAGATTTTAGTAATTACATCTAAATGACATCACAGTGGGAGGGCTAAAAACCTCTACGGAGATGTAAACATAAACGGCTTAGTTGCTTGTTTCACGCAACAAAACATGACAGTTATGCCAACAATGGTTGCACGTTTTACACCACTGTTGTTCTATTTGCACACTTCAAGTGTATTCCTTTTTAACGATAAACGTCACGATATAAACATAAAGAACGCGCGAAAATGTTTTCATATTATTGTTGGCCGTAAATGGCTGTAAACGAAATAAATAATTACAGTAGAACGACTGCATTTAACGTAATTGAAATATTAAAAATTTAAATAGTGAAAACGAGGGTTTGTAGCGTGAAAACGAGGCTTTAACGTGAAAACGAGACTGGGGGGCACATTTACCCTTATTTTTTGCTTAATCGAGCAGATATCGGTTTAGCACCAAAACGAGGCTGAAGGCCCCGCCCAAAGGCTGTATACCATCGATTTTCGAACTCAGCGCCCCCAAATTGACCAAATCCACGTGGTCTCATAAATTTCCCCGTCGGGGGACCATTTCCCCCTTCTCCGCCTGGTCTAAATGGCAGGGTGTTAGCTACGTTTAGCTAGCAATTTCCCAATTTAGATCTACGAAAAACCAAAATATTACGTTCAACATCAAAACTTTACTAAAGAAGCTAGAATTGGGAACCAGATAAGTGTTGCAAGGATGTAATCTAGCCTAAAATAAATTTATTTGTTTTTGGTACGCAAAACAAGTTTGTTTTTGGCAAGCACAAGAATATGTGGACATTTCGTAACTTGGGCCAACTGATTTCTCAATTTCATGACCAGATCTCGAGATTTGCGGCATCTCGCTCTGACTCGTCCCCAGTCGTCTCTGAAGGTCTTGGAAATTGTGCTCGAGAAATTGCTTGAAAATTTAAAACAAATGTAAAAGTCAAAGCAATACCAAGAGCGAGTGAGATTTGAGATATGCGAGGCATATTGCGAGACACATTCCAATTCGCGCGTGCTCACAGAGACGACTGGGGACGAGTCAGCATCTCGCTCGATATAGAACGAAGGGTTTACAATTGCATTTTTCTCTGTTGCTTCCAGTTCTGAAAATTGTATATGACCTTCTACTCGTAATTTCCATCTACAAAATCCTCTCAAATGATCAGATCTGTCTAATAATCTTATACTGTTATCAAATATAAATTCTGGCAGTACACAAGTTGGAGATGAGTTAGTTTCCACGTCAAGATACATATATAGTTGAACTGATAGATTTGATATGTTGAAAATGTTTGCACGATGTGATGTGGTTAAAGATTTCAGATTTATTGTCAATTGTCATTGATTGTTCTCTGATTACTTTTGCATCCAGGACAAGTAAATTCATAATTTACCGTGGTTGTAAAAATCGATATATCGGTCAAACAAATCGCTGCTTCGGAATCAAAGGTAGACCTTTTCGGTGCTTGGCAACTTGTGAGCAACTTTTTGAGTTTTAAGCAACTTTTTGCCTTTCGTTCGAGCAATTTGTCTGTCTGGAGCAACTTTTGACTGTTTAAGCACCAAATGAGCAACTTTCAACCTTTTTAAGCACAGAATGAACATTTGGGAACATAAAAAGATTAATATTGTAATTTATTGTAGATCCATTACAACGCAATAGCCAATAGTACTTTATTGCAATTGTTATCACTTTGTTATCTTTAAAAATATATATACAATGCCAATGGGCAATGACTTTACAACGCCACTAAATTATTGGTTACAACGTGCGAAACGCCTGACTTGTGTAGCCGCCATGTTGCTTCAAAATGTCAATAATGAACGAAAAAGGATAACACTACATATTTTCATAAATGGTAGAGCACGATTCAAGCGAATCTACATTCTAACTCTGTTTATCAATAATAACGCTGCGACAAAGCTAGCAACGTTTTGAATTTTGGGAGCAACTTTTTCAATTGCCAGAATTTACATTTAATAACTTGAATAGACAGTTCTAATCGTTAGTTCTTATTGCTTTAAAAGACGTCACATTCTCATAATATTTAACTATTGTAATTCTTTATTTAATATTAATCTCTTCTATATCATGTGTGTATAGCAGTATAGGCCTATATAAAATTACTTAATTAGTTTCTTCACCTATATTCTATAAATATTACTGTAGCGTGTAGTTGCTTGGTGTAACCTACTGTAGCATCATTCCTGCATGATGACTAAAACGTGGTCGAAAGCTTTTCCGTGGAGTTACCGTTGTTTTGTCTTTTGTAAAAATACTCATTGCTACCCATAATGAACAGGTATGTGCAAAGCTGGTTTCGCCGGCGACGATGCACCCAGAGCTATTTTCCCCTCCGTCGTCGGTCGTCCTCGCCATGGAGGTGTGGTGGTTGGTACAGACCAGAAGGATTCGTATGTTGGCGACGAAGCCCTAAGTAAAAGAAATATCCTTACCTTGAAACACCCCATCGAACACGGCATCGTCACAAGCTGGGATGATATGGAAAAGGTAAGTTTTTGTGCTTTGTTTCATTTTCTTGATTTTGCTTCGACTTGTGGGTTAACGCCCATTCTTCTATTTGTTTCAGATCTGGTATCACACATTTTACAACGAACTTCGAGTAGCACCAGAAGAACAACCCGTCCTCCTTACCGAAGCTCCCAGAAACCCAAAACACAACCGAGAAAAAATGACACAGGTAAAAAGTACACGATTAATAATAGCCATATTTGTACTTTAAAAGACTGACGATAAATTAATTGATTTACAGCCAGAACCGTTGTTTCTATAAATGTCAAGTATTTTATTCAAGAGACAACAATATGCATACTTTTTCTTATTAATTAAATAATTTTAAGTTCTGAAATACCTTTATAGAAATTTTTGTGTTTGGGTTCATGAGTCCTGTTAATAATAATAAAAACTAGAAGTTACTATCGCAAGGAAAGTGCTGCCTCACCCCCAAGGGATCAAAGGCAAGGGAGCATACGCAATTTGCTGAATAAGGGCTGTTTATATGATTCCGCTTACATTTTGACGGTTTTAAGACGTCGAAAAAGACACCCAATGAGATTGGGAATTCGTCATTTGAAACGCCATCAAAAACGTCGAGTGCGGGTCCAGCATCGTCTCATTCAAGAATTGGACAAAATTGCAAAAGCGTTTCGTATTTTTCTCGCATTACAAATTTGTTTTGTACGTTAAAATATTGTTAGTATATAGTAAAGGTATCGTAGATTTTATTTCCGTGATTATTTTAGCGCAGTTGTAAAGATATTTGAAGTATTTTGGATTGTTTGAAGGTATATGTATCGTTAGTTTGATGGCATTTGCCTACCTAAGGAAATAATACCACTATACAATGCCTCGCCCGCGCCACTGTGCCCGCGCGCAGGCAGGCAACCATAACATTGGGCTGCCTATGTTTTAATTACAAAATTACCAATTGACCTTTCCCCTTATAAGTGAAATTTTTATCTAGATATGCCTGGACAAAAATTTCATCACAGCTTGAAAGAGCATCACAAAATTTGTAATATTCCGAACTTTCGTTGCGAAATGTTGTAAAATGCGGATAATATAGCCTTGCGAAGTTTGCCGTTTTTCAGTCATTTTGCATTACAAACGGAAATTGATAATCAGATGATCAAACTGATTATCAATTTCCCATTTGTAATACAAAATGACTTTTGTCTAGACTTGTCTAGTTCAAAATTTCACTCAAAAGGGGAAAGGTCTATTGGCCAAACATATATATGTTAGCCTTGTTAGGGACCGTTCATTAATTATACGTCAGGGTGGGCTGGAGGAAAAAGATCAGAAACGGTGCAAGTTTTCCATGACCCCCCCTCATTAAGGTGTTAATTTTTTCACGACCTCCCCCCCACCCCCCTTCTAACCGACAATTTTTTTCATAACCCGCCCTATTTATTTTCACCAAGTCGTACAAATTTTTCCCAAAAATGTTGTCGACCGAAGGTAAAAATTTTCGGACGAACATAAGCATAGTCTAAAAATTTTCCCAGACTAACTACTGTATGTTATTAAAATTTCTCCACCAGCTTACCAAGCGGCTTTTCCCATTTCTTCACCACAAACATATTCTAAAGCTTTAAAACTGTTAAGGTACAAACCATTTCATCAAATGGTTTCAGTTTATCGAGCTTAATATATGAAACTGGTCAACCCTAAAATAGCCAATAATTATCACAAATAATTTTGGCAACCCCCTTTCATGCACAAGAAACACTTTAAAGAAGCCCCTTCTAACCATAAATTGTTTTGGCAACCCCCCTAATTTTCCTCCAGCCCCCCCCCCCTGGTCCTTAATTAATGAACGGTCCCTTAGGTATGTTATTATACATACGTAATATAAGCTTCCTCACCAATACCTCACCCATGGCGTGCCTCAGGGTTCGGTGTTGGCCCCTATACTTTTTTTGATATTCATAAATGACCTCCCCGAAGCGATATCCCACCCCTCTATTGTGGACATATTTGCCGACGACACCACGATAAGTAGCTCTGCTCTCTGGTCGGATTCACAGAGTCTGGGCGATAACCTATATAGAAGCACTTTGAACCTGGAACACTGGACAGAGAAAAACCATCTCCAACTGAATACAGACAAAACGAAATCGATGTTTGTTACA